CCCCCCCCCCCCCCCCCCCCCCCCCCCCCCCCCCCCCCCCCCCCCCCCCCCCCCCCCCCCCCCCCCCCCCCCCCCCCCCCCCCCCCCCCCCCCCCCATGCTATCAGCAGCTCTAGAGGCACTCAGTCGCAATGCAAAGGTGATAATCATCGACGGCGAGAAGCATCTCGGAGGAAATTCAGCAAAAGCCAGCAGTGGTAAGGTCTTGGGTTTTTCAAGCTTGAACTCTGCCAACATGTGTGCGTTGAACTTCAACCTTTTTAAGGTCTGAGCGCTGCTGAAACCTCTACACAGAAAGACATGGGTATTGAAGATTCGCGAGCCCTATTCTACAAGGATACTATGGCTGCTGGTGATCGTGAGAATGACGAGGGACTAGTTGATATATTGGTAGGTTTTTTGGGGCTTGTTGATTACAGGCCAGCGCCAATCATCGTTATGTATTCCTCAACAGGGAGTGTTGTATTTAAAAATTTGGTAAAGGTGCCTTTTTCATTGCGGGGGAGAAACCTTTTCACAGATCTTGAAACCGTGTGTATTTAATCGCTTCGCTGATAACATTTCTTCTCCGCACAGTAGCACGCACGCATGGAAATTTTGCCTTTATTCCACGCACCCGGCACCTTTGCACGAGTGGCTGAGCTAAAAGTGCACTAGACAATCGACCTCCTTTAAATGTGGTCCGTACGCAAATCCTGGTTATCCGGTGTAGTCATGACCGGATCCGTGCCAGAGAGCTATAGGCAGATAAGTAAATTATAAGTACGAAAACTTCCACGAATCACTTATTCAGAAATGGTTCTTATCTGTTCAGGTGGATCAATCAGCGGATGCTATCGAGTTTCTGAAGGAACTCGGTGTTAATCTCAGTGACATAAATCTGTGTGGAGGTCATTCTACTCCGAGAACTCATTGGTAGGATTTTAGTATTCAACATTTCAATTTCTGCTCCATCTCGCCTTCCTGTTCTGCCTATTGACATTCTTCGGCACATAACGCTTGTTCTCGCCGCGTACCGCTCAAACTGGCCGCTCGCTGCGCGCGGCAAAACTTACAAGGGAGGTCGTTCAGGGCGTGGTGCGCTTTTCGAAAACGGTTTTTGCATATTGTAGGGGCTCATGCAAGGACCTGAAAAGTGTGCTTCATTTTCGCTGCGCGCTTCCAGGAACGGTAAAAAACGAGTGAAAAGAAATCTTTGGAATCTGCTTCGTTCTGGGCCTCTTTACGGCGTAGGTCACTTGCAACTTTGACCAGTTGCTGAGTGGGGGGTCCTTATAAAGGGGCTATTTGAATCGAAGCGAAAAATCGCCGCAAGTGAGCTTCCAACTTGGGTCATGTGCTCAAGGGTGAACGGCTTCTTGCAGGTTTCATCAACGATAAGAGCGCTACAGTGGCAGAGCATCGGATGGCCTAGCGGATAGGGTGACGGTTTCGCAATCGGACAGTGAGGGTGGGGGTTGATGGTTCGGCTCCCCTTGCGTCGCGGCTTTTTGCATTTTTTAGATTTCGCTGTTCTCGCTTCCATTTGTGTCTGCGCATGAATATAACTCGGATATTTGCCATTTATGGGCACATTCTGAGTAGCTGTAGTCAGTGCTATTCAACTATTTTAGATATCATCACGGAGCAAGATTGTTGCTGGACGTTGATCCTCATAGGCTATACAGTGGATCTGATTGCGAATTTAGTAACTTCTGGTGTGGTGTCAATTATAGACAATTTGGGGCCACATCTTCTTTCCACTGAATTCTTTATGTAGCACGCACCAATATAGGGAACGTTCAGCGCTATTCTGTCGCCAGATTGCGTGGACGCCAAGAATAGGAGTTATATTTGTGATCAGGACCACTGATTACCATTAAAAACGAATTGGTTCAAACAATTGTTTTGACCTTCTTGGGTTTGCTTATTGGGTTGTCCGAGTTCCGTAGCGTCAACGATCAACTCATCGCTGTTACGAAGATGTGAGACTCCGCTCACACTGCCGACCAAATGGTCGACAAACAAGTCAAAAATTTTTCGCTGAAAACTTGTTCCTAGGGGTAATCGACAGTCCTGATCACGATTCTAGACTTTATTTTCGGTTTCAGTGCCATCTGGCACCGGCATAGCGCCGAGGAGCTGAGTCTGTGCATACTAACGAATTCGAACGAAAAAGCAGTTTTGCTCCATAAAAGTAGGATTGTTCAGTTTATCGTGAATGTTTTTGTTAGGACCAATTATTTAGACAAACATGGATCCAAAAAATGAAAAATTGTAGAAAAGCAAAATTTTTCCTCGGTGGGATCCGAACCATCGACCTATTTTTACGTTTTTTTTTTTATTCGTGGAAGCGCGCAGCGAAAATGAACCTCAGTTTTCTGGTCCTCGTATGTGCCCCTACAATATGCACAAGACCATTTTGAAAAAGCTCACCACGCCCTGAACGACCTCCCTTGTTAGGCGCAAGCTGTCCATGTCAAACCGTGAGCAATGAGAACACGTTTTACGTTCGTCTCACCTAACTGAGCTGTGATGTGGGATAGAGGGTTTTGAAGAGAAGCTCTAGGTTGATTGCTTCTGGTGAATTTCGTAATCTTTCCACTGATTATTTCAGGCTTCCATCACCAAAGGAGGGTCGTCCCACTCCGGTAGGGTTGGGCATCATAATGGCTGCTACAGCAGCGCATTCTGACATTCGCAAAAAGCCAGGCCTATGATGTCCACAATCCCACAGGACACTCGCCGTGGTAGGACTCACTTCATGGAATGCTTATGTCAATGGAGTGAATGTGATACAGGACGGGAAAAGAAGTAAGTTATGAAATACTGAAAAAGTACTTTTTAAATTTGAAACGATACTATTTGAAGAAGAAATCAATGGAAAGGCGGTGATTCTTGCAACTGGTGGATTCAGTGCTGACAGGAACGAGGACGCTAGTCTGCTGCATGAATTTGCCAGTGATAAGGTTTATTCAATCCTCTGGCTTTTGATAGGATTCACTGACCATTTTGTCAAAGGAGTCACAGTTTCAAATCAGCTTTAGCTACGTTTTCCAACCACTAATGGTGCGTTTGCTCGTGGTGATGGGGTGAAAATGGCACGTGCTATGGGTGCTCAGGTTCGAATATTCGTAATGAGTTTTATTCTCAACTTTTTTTTTTCCTTCTTCTTGGCTCAACCTCTTTGAGAGCCTAGGTATCTAAATGAGGGATACCGTCGAGACAATGGCGGTCGCTAGTAGTTTATGTTCAGCTTACATTCCTAAGTGACTTGGTACTGGATAGTGTTCAATACATCCAAGCTGCGTTTGTTCGATCGCCGGCTGATCCTTCAGCTGGTACGAAATTCCTTGCCGCTGAAGCGCTTCGTGGCAAAGGTGCTATCCTTGTGAGTAACCGATCCTGACATTGAGTTTCTCGACTCCTTGATTGACTGCTTTTCAAAAGATTCTACATTTACCACGTAGTATATTCTCCAAACCGTCCAAAAGCAGAATTTCTCGAGAATGTTCGCGGATTCCTGAAAATTCCTGAAACTTCAGATAAACTCGGAGGGTGTCCGATTTGCCAATGAACTTGGTAGACGAGACTATTTGACCGACAGGATTCTAAAGGACTGCAAACCTATTGAAAAGTTCCAGGTAGAGTCCCCTTGAGTACTTGATGGTCTATTAGTT